CCTATCGTCATGTGCATACCATTATTTGGCCAAATAGGAAGTGGTTTTTGTTACTGATCGACTATGGTGAGCCGTTAAAATGAATGCAAGTCGTATCTCACGACTGAAATACACCACTTTAGTTATCAGATCAAATCAGTCACTGGTGCGGATACTCTGTCTTTACCGGTTGTGTATTTTTTCTCTCAGAACAACAGGTGTGGTCTGGTTTATCAGACGATCCCCCCTCCCCGTGATCGACAGATTCTAGAATAAAGTTAGGCTATTTTCATCATGGATAACTATGGTCTTTTAAGATGAACGATAGCAGTCGGTTGTTTAATTCGTTATTCTTACAGTTGTCATTTGATTTAGATTCACATAGAGTGTGAAATTATGGTGTCATCACTAATTTGCTGCCCCCTTATTTGATTCTAATTGTTAGTAAACCGCGGAAAATATGAATAACGATACGAACCTGACTAAGCTACTGTAGGTTGTTTGTTTATTTTTCTCACCACTTATATCCACCCCTTCCCCGGTAGCCCTTGATCTTTTATTGTTGTTGCATGTTTGTTCAACCTTTTTGTCCTTCCCATATTCTATCATGGTCCAATACAAACACTTACTGCCGTCATATCGATTATATAGTGATTATGATAACCTTTGCGATGTTTCTCATTGAAAGATCGAAAACGCGGCAGTGATGCTTCACCATTGATTACCGTTTCCACCGCTGACGTCGCGCGTAAATCTGATGTACTATACGCCAAGTTTTGTGCCAGTGTTTTGAACCCTGATCCCACGGAAGATCCGCGAGCATCGTCCTCAAAGCAGCTGCGTCATGATGCTGGCCCCGTGGCCGCACCCGTGTCTGCCTCCGCCACGCCAGTGCCACCCCTTATGCGTAATGCGGTGGACCCAGCTGGTTCCACAAGCTTCCCGGATTTCGGTCGATCCACCCAACACTATAACCCCGATCCGTATCATTTCTACCGGGTTCCGCCTTCTGCCACAGACAGTCATCATTATATAAGTGAAAGCTATGCGTGTCGATCCAACGGTTCCTCATGCAATCCCTATCACTCGCCCCAGCCCCAATTTCATCCACAACAATCCCTTCATTCGCATCCGGGCTCATCCATACCCGCTTACTCCGGTTCACCATTTGATCCTGCTCACTGTCGGCGATTTCGTCAGGGGATGACCGGATCCGATCGGTACAACTCCTCCTATCAAACGAATGCGCTTTGCCGAGATCCTTCGCAACTGTATCCGTCTGCAGAAGATATATATGCTCGCTACCTCGCCGATTCCGCATACCGTTCCCGACCCGATGTTCCGAATCCTCTGACTACTTCCCATACAGCAGGCTCAGCTGAGGTAGGTTGTTGTTGTTGTTGTTCACACTGTTTCTTTCCCTCTTCCTCTCCCCCCACCCACCCCCG